TCTATCCAGCTATAGGCAGACACTTGGCGAGTTGAACATTAAGGTGACTTGGTCGTGTTTCCATATGTTGTGTGATGATCAGGGGCAGTCAGTTGTAGGGTTCTCAAATTCTTGGATGATGACTGACTTTGCATATTTCTTGAACATTTGAATTGCTTAAAGTATGATACTTCATATGAAATATAATTATGAATTTATTATTTTAAATTGTCTTTAACTTTGTTCCCTAGAGCTTTGAGTTGAGGTGAGAAAGCCTCTGCGGTAGGCCGCTCGGGGCAGGAAGCGCGAGTTGCAGCAAATATATTTTTGTTCATTTTCTGCGCACAATATGCTTTTACATGCCAATCCTATGTATAACGAACATGTACACTATATTATGGCAGTAGAACATCCGTACTGTCCAAAGACACTGTTACATGCATGACACATGTGTACAGATATCCGGCACATATTTCCAATGTATTATGCTAATTTATGTATATATACAGTCTATTTACACACTATACACTATCAAACGCTATATACATTCACCATGAACACACACACAACTCCGTCAGTGTCAGCTGCCACACCCTCACTCCTCCAACATCCAGTCTCTCCCTCACTCCTCCAACATCTTACTCGCCAACATTGCTCCTCCCACCATACTGTTATTGTTTGTATTACACTATTTAAACATGTTATGTATACCTATCTACACGTTTTATTCACTAGAACTATGCAAGGAAGACGGTATTGGATCCAAACTTTACAGTGGCCACCATACACTGCATGAGAAATCACACAGCAGCCAGCAGACGACGCTACGATTACATCACCTCCCTCACCAAAATATCTTCTCCCAACATACTCACATACTCCTGTTGCTGTTTCTACACTATATACACACATTGTATATACCCATGTACAAATGTGTTCACCATAGCGAACCACTAAGCTAGTATGATGAGCAAAACAAGAGTGGCTGCCACACAATGAGGCTACCTCGATTCTCTCCCTCGCTCCTTCACCACAATTACTCCTCCCACAATACTATGCACATATGTACATGGGTATATACACACATTGTATATACCCATGTACAAATGTGTTCACCATAACGAACCACTAAGCTGGTATGATGAGCAAAACAAGAGTGGCTGCCACACAGTGAGGCTACCTCGATTCTCTCCCTCGCTCCCTCATCACAATTACTCCTCCCACAATACTACGCACAGTGCTTATTATCACCACAATCCTGCTGTTATCACAATACTGGTCACTAAATCCTGTAAATACATAATTGACCAGAAGTTTATTTTGTAAAGGAACCTAAGAAGTTGTTTGAAGATTCCTAGATGGACGAAATAATGCTGTGGTGCTGTGGCTAGCGCTGTAAACATTGTGAACAGCATTGAATCACTAATATTTGAACATTGTACACAGTCATTATCACACTCAGGCTCTTCTGTAATACAGTACTATCATGGCTAAATAATAAAAGTTATATGTATATTTTGACATTATTAGGCGATGCTGTGGTCACAAGCTGAACAGCAGTGCTGTGAGCTCATGCTGCATGCGTCAGCCTAGGTTGCTCACTCACTCCTGAGGCTCTCACACCCGGGAATGTGGACCACAATTTTTTTTAAAGATGGCGTCTGTTTACAAGAGCCCTGACGAAGCTGATGTGAACCCCATGTAGCCGCGGGAGTTTTGAATGGAACGTGAAAAATACAAATACCCGGAGGCGCATAGCACATCCCAGACGTGGGCCTGCAGGCGCGTTGTGCAGTTAAAGGGTTAAAGTTACCAATCAAACTGCTAAAGCTGAACCCCCGGGATGTGTACACTCACGGGGGCCTAGTGGAGGACACCAAAATATAAATAGGTGTGACCAAAACCAAGGGGCAGATCCCCCAAGGGCAGGAAAACAAAAACAAAATAAAAACTCGCAAGAGGACAACGTGCCCAGGTGGAACAGAGCCGGCCGCTATGGGAGATGAAAACTAGCTGCACAGTACCCTCTACCCCAGAGGCAAACAGAGGTGCAAGAAACACCCCATCTGACTCCAAGGGCAGTCAATCACCAAGCAGAAAAAGACCTTGCAAAAGTAGACCCCAAGGTGACTTGAGGAAGGTAGCATCAATCCCCAGGGGCAGTGCTTACAGGGCACCTAGGGAAGGGGACCCCTAGGTGCATGCAGCCCGAGTACTTGTGAAATAACTCCTGGCTCGCGCACCACCACTTAGACAGCACCACATCTCAAGGCACAGAACTGGAAAAACAGGAGCCAGAGGTGCACGACCTTGCCAGTTCACATCAGCCACAGAACTGCAGGGCAGATAGCCGGCACGCACGGGGGTCTGGGGTTCCCCCTTTACACTCCTGGGGAGGGGGGGGGAGTTGAGCAGACAGCGGCGCAGTGATGTGGTGATGTTATGCTCATTTGCTCGTTTTCATTTGGGAAGTTCTGTCCACTAATTTGGCTTTAAGTAGCAATATTTTAACCAGAATAGGAGTTTGTTTGGGGCGTTTATCTTTCTGGGTCCCTGATCCGGTCGATGGCAGATACAGAATGCTTCCAACCACACGGGGGGTTTCTATAGGCCATTGCTCCTCATGCCTCTCTGAGGGGGCTAGGTTCTGCCTCGTGGTCCCTGGTAGGCCTAGAACTCCATGCACATTGACTGATGCCAGGGGTCTAATACATTCATATCAGCCCAGTTAGCTCTGGGAACCCGAAGGGGCTCCTCCCAGAAAACATTATCTTTGTATTGTTAGTTATGAAACAGAGTATTCCTGAAGCTAGATAGACACATTAAAAATGTGGTGTAAATATATAACAGCATCTTATTTACAGAAGTTTCTCCTTTTGTATTTTTATCTTGTGTATCTAAAATCAAAAGTACATTGCCTTATTCTAAGTTTTGTGTTTTTAGCTTAAAATTACCTTAAATGAGTTTATTCTGCATATGAATAAATAAATATGCAGAAGGCTGACAGGCCAAGTAAGACAGCTCCTATTTACACCCCATCACTCCCACTCATATAGTTGCTTTTATATTATCTTACTTGATAATGTGTTCCGTAGCTCTACAACCCTATTTCCAAAGCAGAGTTTCTAAATCTAAATATATACAACTTGAATAAATTTTTTAGTTACTATATACTGCATTTATTTTTTAGTTCCCTATTTAGATCCCCCTTTGTTAAAGCCTTTCATTCATTTGCCTACTTCAACCTTGGTCTATGCCCTTCTGAAGATTGTATAATATATTCAGTTCATTGTCAATCCATGGAAACTTCCTCATTCTTGGGATTAACTTGGTCATTCTCTTATATATATATTTTCAAATAATTTTATATCTATTCTAAAGTACCGTACCCAAAACTGTATTGTATAAACCAAATAAGGTCTCATAAGGGCAAGCTAAAATTTAAGAATAATGTTTCTTGATATGAATCTTAATACCCTATTAGCATTATTTTAAAACATTCATGCAGTGTTTTCTTGGTTTTAAGATAACTCATATGCTTCACAAAAGAAACCAATTTTGATAGCATTAAGTTGATACCTGTATCTTTAATAATAATAATAATTTATCCAGGTAAAGGAACATACATTCAAAATGAGTTACAAGCAGAATGTTGGATTTCTAGATAGATCTAGTACAGTATATACTGTACTATGCCTAAGGCCACTAAAATGCACAGCATTTCAGGCAAATCTCTTTTTTTCTTTTTCCAGGAATAGAATCTTGCATTTGTAAGCATGAATTTGCCAATTATTTAGGGCTTTCCACAGTGTGTAAGACTCTTTGGCTGAATCTATTGCTTGCCTTATCAGAAAATTTACTACTACTACTGCTGTTCACTCTTTTATCTAACTTATGTATATAGTGGCTGCAGAATAAAGCCTTGAGGTACTCCTCTTTGGAATGATCCCCTAATAAATACCGTACTCCATTTATACTAGCCCTTTGTTGAGTAATAACAATGCCCTGAACCAATTTGAGAGGTCCCCTTCAATAACATTTGACTCTACCTTGCTTATTAGTCTCTTGTAAAACAATGCCAAAAGCCTTTCTAAAGTCTAGGTATATAATATAATCTTTACCACTGTCTTCTGCTTGAAATAATTTGGAAAACATAAGTAAATTTGTCAATGATTGTCTTTTTGTAAAGCCATGTTATGATGCTCTCTTATTTATCTGTACTTCTCAAAATGAGCAGAAGCAGTTGAACCGAGTATTATTTGCAATTTGAACTGTACAGTACTGTAATTTGAAGGGGGCCTGACATCTGAGTGGATAGCACTTCAGATTCATAGTCCTGAGGTTCAGGGATCGATCCCTCGTGGAGGCAGAAACAAAGGGGCAGGATTTCTTTCACCCTGATGCCCCTGCTACCTAGCAGTAAATAGGTACCTGGGAGTTAGACAGCTGCTACAGGCTGCTTCCTGGGGGGTGTGTAACAAAAAGGAGGCCTGGTCGAGGACTGGGCCGCGGGGACGCTAAGCCCCGAAACCATCTCAAGATAACCTCAAGATACTGTACTGTACAGTATATACTGTACATGCATTCTAAAAATGCAATCACAGTACTGTATGGCCATATAAAATTCACATATTTTCATTCCGAGAAAAAATATGTTGGATCTTTACAACTTTCTTAAATTCTCAAATTAATTGTAATTTTTCAACTATCAGTGTTCTTCAGGTTATTAAATTACTATGATATTGAAATTTTTGCACATTATAACAAAAATAAATTACAGTAGTTCTGATTATTGTGATTTTTAGCTATTACTGTACTGTCTTTTATATGTACAGTATAAATACTGTAAAATAAATATTAAATAATAAATAAAAATAAATAAAAAATAAATAAATATGTTACAATATCTGTACTGTATTACAGTACTGTATACCCTTCCCAACTACCCTCTCCCATAATTATTCCTTGCCTTTTCCCCTTTCACCCAGCCCTTCTTCTCCAGGCTTTGGAAGTGAGCTTACTGCGTCGGGTAGCGAGTCACTTGATCCCCAGGCACGATGTAGTTTTGCTTCGACGTCACGGGAGAGCAAGTTGTTGAAGGCCTCGGTTGTCTTCCGCACTTTTACATTCAGGGACCCGATACGCAGAAACCCAGCTGCCTCTTTTACTGTGGAGACAATAACAAAAGTCACAGTAGGCATCTACAAGTCATCTGGTAGCAAGCAGAAATGAACAGTAACCTGGATGATACACAGTAACATCTGTTAAGTACAATTAATAGATTCTAAAACTCAAAAGATTTTAAATACAGTACTGCAAATTGTAAGAAATCAGAGATATTTCCTGAATTCTAGCAAATTGAATACAACACAGCACAAAATCCTACACTTATACAGTACTGTAGAAGCATTGTTGGCATAATAATGAGAAGTGGAACATAGTTGAGTAGTAGTATGACAGGAAAGAGTGAATGGTGTAAGCTGTTATCAAGAGTATATTAGGAATAACAAATATTAGTCAAGTTTCATACAATATAAAGTTATAGTATAAAGAAGAAAAGCACATTAAGAGGAAACTTTAACATGAACATTATATGAGATGAATGATAACACAACGTGTTTAACACAACATGAAGTGTATTTGGGACCCACCCACACTATTGGGCAATAGGGGCAATTTGCCCCTCCTCTTTCCCTGGATTTAATATAATTTTTGAATCAAAATTTATAACATTTATTTCAAAATTAGTGTAAACTTTGTATTAAAAATGTCACAAATATAACAACTTGAAAATTATAATTTTGTATCTTTAACACACAGTACTGTACAATGATGCATGCATATTATAAACAATATATATGCATACATGTATACTGTATTTATATGCTTGATAGGTCTGTGAAAACTGGGGTGGAAGACAATTACAAAAATATTTCCTCTGTTTTTTTCCAAGGTATCTAATAACTGACTAACAAAATGTAGCCAAATATATACAGTATTAGTTTTTTATATTTTTCCACAACAATTTTGTTACACTTCGAGTCAGTTTTTTAGTAAAAAACTAGCATTTAATGTAATGAAATGCCATTTTCTGGGTGAGTCCCGGAGGCTCCCCAGAGCTATCCAGGCTGAATGTATATGTATAACTTTCTGGCATCATTCAATGTGCATATAGTTCTTGCCTACTGGGGACTGCGAGCCAGAACCTGGCCGCCTTAGAGAAGCACGAGGAGCAATGGCCTAAAGAAACCCCCGTGTGGTTGGGAGCATTCTATGTCTGCCATCAACCAGGTCTGACACCCAGAAAGGTAGGCGCTCCAAAACAAACCCCTATTCTGGTGAAACTATTACTACCGAAAGCCGAACGAGTGGACAGAACTTCCCAAAAGAAAATTAGCAAACGAGCATGATGTCATCACATTGCTGCACCGATGTCTGTGCGACCCCCCTCCCCAGGAGGGGAAAGGGGGAGCCCCAGACCTTCGTGCCGATGATCCAACCACCGGTTCTTAGGCTGGATGTCAAAACACTTGAAAAAAAAAAACGCCGACCAGAGGGAGGGAGGGATGCCGAGGAGCCTCCAGGACTTGCCCAGAAAATGACATTTCATTACATTCAATGCTGGGTTTCTGGGAGAAGCCCCGTTGGCTCCCCAGAGCCAACTACCCAGAGACAAGGAATACAAGTTGAGACAACTGACTGCAACTGCCAACCTAATGCAACACAGGCCCTACCAGGTCGAGGGACATTGACAAGGTGGCCAGCACCCTGTTCGACCTCCAAAAACCCCAGGCCCGAATATCAACCCAAGACATGTTGCCAAAGATGGTAGCCAAAGCAGCAAATGTAGGAACATTTTGGGCACAGGGATAGACCACAAGTTGACAAGACCTAATAATCCTGCAAACGACCTGAGAGACCCGAGCCCGGGAACAGGAAAGGAGGGAAACCGGGTCAACCCAAAGCACATCCGTGGCGCACAAATAATGATGGAGAGCCGCAACCGGACACAACACATGATGCACCTCCGGCCTGACCAACCAAGCATCAACAACCCAAGGACCACTCCGGAAAGCAGCAGTCTCATTCTTCGCTAGAAAAGAAGGAGACAGCCGAGATCGAACAAATCTACCACCAGGACCGAAGGAGAGCATGAAGCTCCCTGACCCGACCCCCAGAAGCCAATGCCAACAGGAAAAGAGCCTTAAAAAACAATCCTGAACCGAAGGGGACACAACAAACCGAGGAGAGAGAAAAGAGAGCACCCGGTCCAAAGACCAGGACGGTTTAGGAGGCACATGAGCAGGCCGGAGGTATGACCATGCACAAGACAACTTACGAAACAGGGCAGAAGTAACATCAACATCGAACGCAAGCTGGAGCGGCTCCACCAGGGCTGCACGATACGAGGCGACAGTATTTGGCATAAGATGACGGTTCTGGAACAACCACGAAAGGACAAAACACCCTATCAGAGACCAAACTACACCTATGCAGTGATAGGAAAAACCGGAAGGACCATCAGGAAACTTCATACTGTCGTCAAGATGAAGCACGCAGGTGGGAGTCCAACAACGAAGCCACCTGTGCCCCATACAAGTGATGATAGACTCGAGTCAGAAACTCCAGACACGAAGATTCGAGGAAAAGAATGAACCAGCCTCATGCCGGGCTGGACCGATCTGCTGAAAGAGGTAGAGCCGTGGGAAGACCCTCGGGTTTGGTCACCGAGCAAGCAGTGCCTGAAACTAAGGCTGGGCTGGCCACCAAGGAGCCAGAAGGACAACTCTCCATTAGTATGTTTCCAAGAGAGCCAAGACCTGGAGCAACAGTCGAACTGGGGGAAAGAGTTACAGGTAACCCCACCTCGCCCAGTCCTGCCTGAAGGCGTTGACCCTGACGACCTCACAGTTGGGGAAGGGCTCCACGTATACCAGGAAACGCCTCGACCATGCCAACGCAAAGAGATCCACTTCTGGAGGCCCAAACCTCTGGCAGAGCCAACTGAACAAGTTGGCGTCGACCGTCCATTCTGTGGACAGGGGAATGAACCGGGACAGGCCGTCCATCAGTACACTAGACACCCCCAGGAGAGCCAAACCCCGAGAACTCAGCAGACGAGTCACCCGAAGCGACCAGCCCCAAAAAGCCAAGCACCGCATGGAACCCCATCGGTTCAGGCAATGAAGCACCAGGGAACAGTCCGAATGGAGCCGGATTGTTGATCCGCAAGCAGCCCGAACCCTCCAGAGCGACATCCACACAGCCGCAAACTCCCACACTGTGCAGCGAGTCCGACTGAAGGATGGACTCCACTGACCCTGGCTATCCTGTTGAGCACTGGTCACAAAGCCCAAGCCAAAAGACGATGCATCTGTGAACACATTGAGCGAGGGCTCGAGTAGGCGCCAAGGCACTGAACCCCGAAAAATCCGAAGAGGAAGCCGGTGATGCAGCAACCGACACAAAGCCCCAGAGGCCGAACCCAGCGGTCGCAAGAGAGACAGAAGGGACGTCCCCGAAGTAACCAGAATAGCCGATGAAGCTACACCCGACCCAGCGGGTAGACCATCATGGCAAAGTTTATGCTCCTGAACAAACCCTCGAGCAACCGCCGCGTGACCCGGGAGCCTCTCAGGAACAGACAAAGGCAGGAACGCAGGCGAAGCAGAGCTGCCAGAGGAAAAGACAAGGAAGCGGTTCGAGTGTCCCACACAAGACCCAGCCAAGACTGAACCTGAGAGGGAACCAGATGGGACTTCCGCACGTTCACCAAGAATCTGAACCAGGAGAGCTGGAAAAGAACCAAATCCCTGACGAACAGACACGCGGACTGGCAGGGAGCTCAAACTAGCCTGTCGTCAAGGTAGGCCAGAACCTGAACACCTAACAGAAGCAGGCGGGTCACCACGACCCAAGTAAGGCGTATAGAAATTTGAGGCACCAGATTCAAGCCAAATGGAAGGCAATGAAAATGGTAACCTTGATGCCCCACAACAAAACCAAGCCAATCCCTTAACCTCGGATGAACTGGGACATGCCAATATACGTCCTTGAGGTCCAGAGACACCATCCAAGCACCCGGCTCCAACAGAAGACAGACTTGGGACAGAGTAGTCATCGGAAAGGAGGGGCAATAAACCCATGTGTTCAGACGGGACAAGTCCAGAATGAACCGGAGGTCCGCACAATCTGTTTCGGAAACAGCCGGGAAACCCACCTGAGGGATGAGGTTGTTTCGATAACACCCAAGCGGACCCACTCCTTGATGACTCTACAAAGCGCAGGAGAAGAGGCCTGCCCTGCCAGCCCCAAACCCCCAGGAGGAGGAGCTACCCAATGCCACCACAGGCCGCACGAAACGACCTGAAAGGCGCACAAATCGTGGGGCCAGGTGCGAGTGAATAGAGCGAGCCTCCCCCCTCATTAACCTGTCAATGGGACAAACAGTGAAAGAGCTGAAGCACCTTACAAGAACCTAAGCGGCGCACAGGACGATCCTCGGGCCGACCAGAAAAAGACAAAATCGGATTCTGCGTCTGCCCCGAATCTGACACCATTGGCCTACCACGATGGGAAGAACCCCGAGCCCTGGCACGACCCTTCTGGGAAGGCCCACCACAAACCCCCCGGAGAACTAACAAGTCGGACATAGGACGGCAACTGGCCGAAGCCACCTGCAGATACTGCACCACCGCAGACTCTGCAAACAGCAGCAAACAAAAAGGCAAAGACAACCTAAGAGCCAGGGCCCAAGTGGACTCCAAGGAAGAAGCAAGCACCGCCTGTCGACACGTGTGTCGACAAGCAAAAAAACGCGAAACCGCATGCCGCCCAGTCGATGGCAGACATAGAATGCTCCCAACCACATGGGGGCCATTGCTCCTTGCACCTATCTGAGGGGGGCCAGGTTCTGGCTCGTGGTACCCGGTACCACGTTCTTGCGGTAGGCAAGAACTCCATGCACATCAACTGATGCCAGATAGTTATACATATTCATTCAGCCTGGATAGCTCGGCAGAGCTGACAGGGCTTCCCTCAGAAAATATAAATTTCCAGAATGAGGGGGGTAGGAAGTGTGTGATTTTGATAATAATGATGACAAATGTGCTAATTTAAGGCTATAATCATATTTTGAAATTATTAGCAGCATATTATTGTGAATTA